TGGCATATGAAAGAATTAATGCTTTTTATAGTTTGTAACAAGAGTGTTAACTTTCATGGTTTTAATGTACCAAGTTACTGCACTATCACCATCACTCAAATGCCCCAGACTCTCCATCACTGTCCCTATGTCCTTTCTAGACTGTTTCTTAGGATTCCCTCCTCTCTTCACTGCGTGTTAATCTCAGTTTTACAGCCAAAGGCCAAGGGTTTGCCATAGTTAGATATTGCATATTTTCTTAATTTGTTTCTCTATAAACCAAAGATGAGTGAGATCATGTGGTATTCTTTTTTGCCTGACTTATTTCACGTAACATGATCTCTCCAATTCCATCCAAGTTGCAGTGAACTGCAATGTTTCATCTTTCCTTATATTCCTTCTTGCGTATAAATGTGTCACCACTTTGTTACACATTCATCACTTGCTAGATATTTTGGTTGTTTGCACATCTGCTGCTGTACTTAGTATTTCAATGAACATGTATGCATGCATATTTCTGAACTGTTGTTTGTGTTTGTGGGATAGATGGCAAGAAGTGGAATCACTGGGTCATAGGGATGCTCTGTCCTTAGTTTTTTCAGAAACTGTTTTGCTGAACCAGATGATATTCCCACCAGCAGTGAAGGAGGATTTCTTTTTCACCACATCCCTGGCAACACTGGTTGTTTCCAGTATTTTAATGCTGTTGTTATTGATATATGCCACTCACATTGGTATGAGCTAGCTCAAAATAATTCTGATTTGCATTTTCCTGATACATTTTTGAATAACATTATGTTGTTGTTGTATAAACACATTTTTTTTTGGTTTGCTTTTGGCCTGCACTCAGGGGTGCTCAGGGTTTACTCCTGGCTCTTACACTCAGGGATCACTCCTTGCAGTGCTCACAGTACCTGGATGCCAGATATTGAACCCAGGTCAGCTGCATGCAATGCACGTCTACTGTACTCTCCTGCTCTGGCCCCTTTTCCATATGTTCTGGATCCATTTATTTGCTGTAGCACAGTTCGGTTGCTTTTTGGCAACTACTTTGGCTCTTGTTAATAATGGTGCACTGATTATGGGCGTGAAGGATTTGATGAGACTCCACTAACCCTTAAGGCCACTCGATGGGGTTCAGGACACTGAGCTTTTTTTATTTTAGATGACTGCATCACTTTTTACTTGGCCTCCTTGTTTCTTGCCTACTTCCATCCTAGTCATTCTCCACCCTGAGTCAGAATGACCAAGTCATTTCTCTGTGACAAATCCTTCAACATCCCTCTAGTTCTAATAGCCTTTCAGGAGAGAATGGAACCCCCTCCGTCTTATCTTTAAGGTCCTCATGATTGACTCTCTCATTTCTTGTTTCTTCTCCACTGAGGGATTTATGCTCCAGCCACTGAACTTACGGTAATTCCTCAAGCAGGTCATGTTCTTCTGTGTTTGCATCTTTTTCCACTTGCTGCTCTGCCTGTAATGAATCCCTCCCTCCCCCATTTCTAGGCTAGATAAGTGGATCTTAAGTGTAATGAGCAGAGCTGCAGCACTACCATTCTCAGAATTTGTTAGAAACACGCATTCTCAGCTCTATACCAGGCAAGTGAATCAGAAAACTCTGGGATGGGCTTCAGAAATCTATGACTTAAGAAACTCTCTGGAGAATTAGAGTGCAAGATAACATCCGAGTCTATGTTTTAGATATAATTAACTACTTGACTAATTCAGTTTACCACCTAGAGAAGCCCTCCTGACTTCTCCCTTGCCCATGGAACTTGGGGTCTCCTATTTGTATCCAGACTATGGCTCTGTCATATATTTATCATTTTTTTTTTTGCTTTTTGGGTCACACCAGCAATACTCAGGGGTTACTCCTGGCTGTGTGCTCAGGAATTACTTACTCCTGGCAGTGCTCGGGGGACCGTATGGGATGCCGGGGATCAAACCTGGATCGGCCATGTGCAAGGCAAACGCCCTGCCCTCCGTGCTATCGCTCCAGCCCCCCATTTATCATTATTTTGCAATGGCTTATTTATTTGCTTGCCATTCCCTGCTGATTCTTAGTTTCTAGAGGATAGTGTGGTGTGTGTGTGTGTGTGTGTGTGTGTGTGTGTGTGTGTGTGTGTGTTTGGTATCTCACCTAGCTGTCTTAGAATTCACTCTTGGCTCTGTATTCAGGATCACTCCTAGCAGTCCTTGGGGGAACATACGTGTTGCCAGATATTCAGCCGGGGTTGGCCACATCCTAGGCAAGCACCTAAGCCTTGTACTATCTGTGTGGTCCAGAGACTGTGTTTAAAGATCATTCATACTCCAAATGCACAAATTTGTGCACATGGAACAAATTAGTGACTAGTGACTCAAAAGGATTTGAAGTTAAATGTTGAAGAGTTAACCGTCAACATATGTGTGACTATACCAATATGTATTTAGCATATGCATTCTTAATAACTTTATGTGCAAAACATTTGCGCTTAGATGACTGCAAATCACTGAACTGAGAAAGTGTTTTTGCTACAGATTACAAGTATGTCCTGCAGTCAATAGTACTAATTAATGATCCCCAAATGCAGAAATGATGTATGCTTTAAGGAATAATTTAGTAGAGCAATCACAATTTATAGGAAACTAACCATGTGCTATCCTGATATGCCAAATGACCTAATTTTGCCAACATGCAAACCTGAGACCCTACAGGTTAAGGAATTTGAAGAACCCCCTGGATGTTCAGAGCAAGGAAGCAGGAACAGAACCGTCTTCTTGGCTTCCGGCCCATTTATTTCCTCTAAACTCAAAATAACACTGCATTAGCATTTGGCAAGAAATGTGTATGCACATTTTTCTTTATACTTTAGAGAAAATTCTGATCCAAGTTCCTCCAGTCAGAATGATGAATTATAGACTTTATAGTGCTGCTGAATTATGATTTCTTTAAATTACGGTTTACGGTGGAAATGCCGATACCAGCTATTCATTAAAAACTTTCTATTTCCCCTTTTATGTCTCTGTCATGCCCCAGACCCATAATTTCGAAAACTACGGCTGCTCTCTTTGTTGTGGCTCAGGGCTGATACACTGCGTGGGAGTGTAATTATGTGGGCACTAACTAAACTGTGGATCCATAATGATTAATTTATAAGGTCTAATATATGCTGTGGTGTTGGCTGGAAGAAGGTTCTGGCATCGCATACCCCCTAGATATGGGGTTACAGTGGATTGGCTAATTGTCTGAACCAAGTTTCATGTGCTAATTTAGCTGTCACCTTGCTTCAAATCTTTCTGTGCAAACTTCCTCCTTCTCGCACAACCAGCAAGACCGTCGGTGCCTCAGTCGCTCACCTCTACATCCCTACCGCACCTCCTGTGCTCTCTGAATTTCTCTAGACTTATGAAACTATTGGCAGTTTCCCCAACAATCACATTTTTCCCTCTCAATTCTGGTTTTTATGCCATTATCTCTCCATACCACATACATCTAAGCTGCCACCCACAAACCCCAAACTTTGTTGGTTTTTTTCTTTTTTTTTTTTTCTTTTTAGGTCACATCCAGCAATGCTCAGGGGTTACTCCTGGTTCTGCATTCAGGAATTACTCCAGGCGGTGCTTGGGAGATCATACGCGATGCCAGAGATCGAACCTGGGTCGGCTGCATGCAAGGCAAACACACTACCCCTACCTGCTGTACTATCGCTCCGGCCCCATCAACCCCAAACTTTTATCTGGATTCCTCTACTTGTCTCTGTGGATTAAGCAAAAGAATCATCTTCTCCTGGAAACTTTTCTAATAGGCTACTCCAAACAGGGCACTAAAACGTAGAATAATGGTTTCTCCAGGAACGTAGAGCAATAACTGCCTGAACAATTATACCCAAAAGTCATCAATTAAATAGACATGTACTGGAAACTCCTTCCAACTAATCGCTCAAAGGGGGACTCTAATCTGTCCAGAAGGATACAGAAAGAACATCAGCAATGCCAGAAGTCAAGGTGGATTCCATGTAACCTTGCCTTCACTCGAAAAATTTTAACTTTCTTTTTCAACATAAGGAGGAATATCTTCACATGGCTATCATTGCTGGATCCACAGTCTGCATTCTGGGCCAGATGTTCATTGCATACAACTACGGGACATTGACCAGACAGAGCTAGTACAGTGAGCACGGCTCTGGTGTTGCCGGCAGCCAAGCTAGGTTTGATCCCCAGCCCTCTATACGATACTCCAAGCACTATCAGGAGTGATCCCTGTGTACTGAGGCAGGATATTCACCAAATACACATCTGACAAGGGGTTGATATCAAGGATATACAAGGTACTGATTGAACTCCACAAGAAGAAATCACCCAATCCCATCAAAAAATGGGGCGAGGAAATGAACAGAAACTTTTGCAAAGAAGAAATCCGAATGGCAAAATGGCACATGAGAAAATGCTCTACATCACTAATCATCAGAGAGATGCAGATCAAAACAACAATGAGATATCATTTCACATCACAGAGAGTGGCCCACATCCACAAGAACAAAAGCAACCGGTGCTGGCGCGGATATGGCGAGAAAGGGACCCTCCTTCACTGCTGGTTGGGAATGCCGGCTGGTCCAACCCTTTTGGAAAACAGTATGGACAATTCTTAAAAAATTAGAATTTGATCTCCCATTTGACCCAGCAATAGCACTCCTGGGAACATATCCCAAAGAGGCAAAAAAAAATTTTTTTTTTAATGAATCACTGTGAGATAGTTACAGATTTACAAACTTCTGTGATTACATTTCAGTCATACAATGATTAAGTACCCATCCCTCCACCAGTGCCCATTCTCCACCACTCATGTTCCCAGTATCCCTCCCCACCCTCCCCTCGCCTCTGTGGCAGACATATTCCCTTTTACTCTCTCCTTCCTTTTGGGTGCTATGACAAGAACAAATTTTTTAATTAAATTTTGATTTAACTGAAAAGGAACATTCCATCAACTCCCACTGCATGCCTCCCCAAAGTGGAAACTAGGGGCTTGCCCGCCAACTCACGGTCATGTGTAGCGTGGCTCCCAGAGAGAGTTTCGATGCTTCTGGTGTCTGTGGTAAAATGGCAATGTTGAACATGCGGCTCTGCAGATGGGTGTGGGCATCGGTGGCACTGGACACCTGGAAGGCAAGGACCCCGTGAGCCAAAGAGCTGCCCTTGACTATGTTTATGCCTCTCTGGACACAGTTGTCACCGATTCCATGTCTTCCTGCATTGCAATTCCCTGCTCTTCATATTTTAATATTATTTTTTGACTGACTTTAGAAAAAAATATCAAATAGTTTTAGGTAATTCTGAAAATGCAGAAAAGTATAAACAAGAAAAAGTCATCTAGGATTTCTTCACCTGGAAATAGTAGCGACTAACACATTGATGTCTTCTCATTTAATCGATTTTTTGATGCATATCGCAAGCTTTCTGCACAAGCGTCTGCTCTAAAATTTTACTTAATAAAATATGTGCATGACACTTTGATATATCATTAAGCATTCTTGAAAACATAATTGTTGATTGCCATATGCCTCTCTATGCACCTACAGTACACAAGTTTTATATGTGATTTTTATTCTGTATTTTTCATCTTTCTCCAGCACAGATATTACAGCTAGGCAATAAATCTCAGTCTCATCACTGCAAGGCATGATTGTTATTTATAATTAGGGAAGTGATCACAAAAATCAACTATTTCCTGCTTCAAAATGGCTGGAAAATGATGATTTTCCTATGCATCTTCTCCCCTTCTTCAGGGTTACTGAGACGCTTCCTTAAACTCCCTTCACTATTGTCTGTTTCCAGGCATCGCACAAAAATTGCAGTGACTTCCATGGCAATGCACAGTCACATTCAGAGCAAATGGAGGGGTCAGGATTCCGAGAAAAGGGAGGAAACGAAGTCTCTTCTCTATGTGTTCTAAAGTTACAGCTAACAGTCTTTCTATATGTTGGCCACTTTAAAACCTGGAGTTAAAGTTTCAATTAATAAATAACATTGATTATAATAGCTATAGAATTCATTGAATATCTATCATGGGCTCAGCCTTGTGCTAGTTACTTTTCACACATTATTTTATTTAATCCCCACTGAATAGATTTTGCTATTTCAGTTTTTTGTAAACGAGAAAACTAAAGGTCAAATTACCTAAGTGAGGTGTGAAGGTTACAAGGTAATGGGGCCAGGGGATTCCTGATCTTCCTAGTGGGCAAGATGACTTTTTATTTTTTTGGTAGCTTCTGAAAATTAAGAAAGGGGAAATAGAGTAAGTCTCTTCAAGCAAAGGGACAGGACTCAATGCAGGTAGTGAAATGAGGGCATGTTACTGATCTAGAGAATCTGTTCTGACTTCCTTGGTAAGGACACGGTTTGAAATCTCATTTTAGACCTCATTCTGGCAGGTCCACGTCCATGTGATCTGGGGGCTCCTTTCCAGGTCCCCAAGGATTATAAATGTGCAAACTTTCTTCTCACTATGCCATGTTCTATTTTAATACTACTTGCATAAATCCCCAGTACGGTAACAGATGGGAGGTATTGATGGCACATGACAGCACATCAACATTAAAATGGAAGGAATTAAATCCATGCAGCTCATTGTATTGTATTTTCTGCTTTAAAGGAAAAAAGAAAAGTCATTAGAATAGCATCTTTCTTAGTTTAAAATCCTTTAGGGACACTAACATGATGAATGGGAAAAGGTGCTAACCGTTTATTTTAGCACACAAGCTATACTGTTTGTGTTGTTTCCAATCAAAATCTGAGGTAAGCCTATAAAACAAGAAGACTTTAAAAACAAACACACCAAAACTTTTACATCCAGGAGAACATAATCTCTGAGGGTTGTTTCATATTTGCAATAAAGATGCTGTCAGTGTTCAATGCACTTTCAGATTGCCTTAGAGGAAGCTCACAAATCATGGAGGAAAGTCAACTTGTTACATTTCGACCAAACATAATTACTACTCTTCTTACCAGACATGGTTTTGAATAACTTTGGGCTACTTTTAAATGAGATAAACTCTCACCACACACAAAAAAAAAATTCTAGGAAATATCCCATAGGCTTGGAAGGACAATTTTTTTCTAAGCAATGAAGTTCAGCTAAATGTCTTAAACTCTTACAGGTTTGTTAAAAAGAAATTCATACGTTTTGCCATTTTACAATTACTCACTTAGTAACCAACCTGCAAAAGGAATCCAATACCATTTTGAGTAGCTGCCGAGAATCCCCTGCCAGGGAAATTCTCCATACTGGCCATGTTCTTCTTTCCCGATATTTCTGAGAGCCAAGGCAGCTCCAAAGATTATATTTTGCTGAGGTGATTTCTTTTGATTGAGGTCTTTGCCTCTATTCTGACTCAATATTTGAAGACCACGGAGTTCCCAGAGGTTCAACATGAAAAATTAAGTTGAGCAAAGGCTACATAATGTTTGTGCTCTCATTGGACATTCAGTGCGTTCTGTATAATCTCATTTTAATGGTTTCCAAATTTATTTCAACTTGCTCTCTGGGAAAGCACATCTTTTACACAATATAAATTAATCAGGCAATGAAGATGTGCACAGCCAGGCAGAAGAAGCAGAATGGATGATAATTTTAACAAGGTGAGCTTACCATGGAAGCCGCTCCCCAGCTGAATTCCTAGACAAAGGAGCAGGCTCAGACTCAGAGGGACTCATGGTGCCGTTTCAATTACTTGTTAGGAGCATTTCTTTATATTTTCTCTGACACGTTCCAAAATTCTCCTTTGTGTCTGGGCATAATTGCTCTCTCGTTCATAATTTTACATTCTTTTGTATTTCTGTTCCATTCTTTGCTTCCAAATTACGCTTTGCTGAGGTGTGTCTAATTTTATCAGTCTTTTCAAAGATGTACTCATTTTTTCCCAATTTTAACACTTAATAATTAATCAATTCTTTTGCTTATTTCTATTAGTTTCTTCCTTTGCCTTTCATTATGTTTCCCAAGTGGCGTCTTGGTTCTTGAGCTAAATATTTAGCGTATTTATTTTCATGTTTTCCTACTCAATAACCGGTTTCAAAACCATCAATTTTCTCCTGAGGACCATTTTGTCTACATCATTTAAGTTTTGATAAATTAATTTGTCCTTATCGATATTTCTTAATAGCTGCCATTTTAACTTCCTTTTGCACTGGTAGTTATTTAGAAGAGACAGTTTGAGAAATTCGAAATAGTTTGATTTTTTTTTACCCTTTTATTTTAATGAATCTAATTTTAATTAGATTCATAATGGCCAGAAAATGTGCTCAGCATAATTTCTCATTCTTCAATTTGTTGATTTAATTTAATTTAATTTATGGCCTGGGTACTTATTTGTTTTGCGCTATGACAACAAAAATACTATAGACTAGATCCTTATTAACAACAAAAATGTATTTCTCAGAGCGAGACTATGAGCTCAGTCTGACAATGTGGTTGCTTCCATCAGAGCCATTTTCTCGACTGTAAATTATTAACTTCTCACTGTGACCCCAGAGTGGGGAGCAGAACAAGGTGGCTAGTTCTTCTGTGGCCCTTTTAACTGCACTCATTGCTCTGTGAGTGCATAAACTTTCTGACTTCATCTTACACTCATCACCAACAATCTCCCTCTACCATCACATGTGGGAGACACCTTCCATGGAACTTAACCATAGAATCTGGGACAGTGACCTTAAGTTTATAGCACTGGTATTTGATCCTTATTAATGGCAACAACAAACCCTTACAAAGTGATAGACAGTATTTTTAATGTTTTATAAGCACTATCTAAATAAATTCTCACCATTATGTCACTTTATAGATGAGGAAGCTAACATTCAAGGATTTTGCCCAAGTAATTTGCCCATAGTTGAACAGTTAATATATGAAAGCACTGAAATATGAACACATCCGGTTTGGTTGCTAAGTATATGATCTTATCACAGTATGCTGAATGTTGCAAAAATATCTGTAAAAAGAAAATAAGTTTTTGTATCCATATGAAACTTTAGGGCCGGAGCGGTAGTACAGTGGGTAGGGCTTTTGCCTTGTTACACGGTCAGCTTGGGTTCAATCCCTGGCATCCCATATGGTGCCCCAAGCACCGCAAGGAGTAATTCCTGTTTGCAGAGCCAGGAATAACCTCTGAGCATTGCTGGGTGTGACCCCAAGAGCAAAAAAAAAAAAATAAAAAAATAAAAAATAAAAACAACAACAACAAAACATATGAAATATTAGTATTTTGAATTCATTTTTAACACCACAGCTATTTTCTATTATTAATCTGTTTGATGTGGAATGACTCTTATTTTATTCATTTATTTATTTTAGTTTTCTGGCCCACATTCAGCAATGCTCAGGGGTTACTCCTGGCTCTGCACTCAGGAAACACTCGGTGATGCTCAAAGGACCATATGGGATGCTGAGGACTGAACCTATGGCAGGTCAGCTACATGACAGGTAAGCACCTTACTTACTGTACTATCTCTCTGGCCCTGTGGAATGACTCTGAAACAAGCTGTCCACAATTGAATGAAAAGGTTAAAAAATTTTTTTTCTGTCCTGTTAGATTTTGTCTTCCCCCAAACATGATTTCCAGGTCACAAAAATGACTTGAGTTGTTGACAAATAAGGAATGATGGCTACCAGCACACCATGCAGACATCAGCCAGGTGGGAAGCAGTTACCTGAAAACGGAAGGAGTCGCTCTGGGCTGGGACTCCTGAGTGCCTGTACCACACAATGCCTTCGTCAATGTCTTGTTGTGTGAAGGTGTTGGTGGGAGTCGCTGTCCTTCCATCAGGCAGGTGTTGCCCTTCATCTGCGGGGCTGTCAGCTGGCATGTTAATCAGAAGGACCACCTCCCCTAGGAAACTCACAGTTAGTGATGCACTATGGGAAAAGGAAGAGTGAAGCAGAGTTCTTCGGCTATCATTTTTCTATCACTTTTTTAGCAGCAAATAAATGAAGTGCTTTTTAATTTTTATCCAAGGTAACATTAACATTAACAGAATTCAATGGACAACACAAAATCCAACTTTAGATAGGGGATTCCCAGTGTTGCAGATAGACAGAACGGAAGTCATTCAAGGGCAATTCGTGGACGAAGTGACTGATTTGTACCCATTACAATGACATTAGGAGATCCAAACAGTCATTCATACTGCAAACAAATATTCAGAGTCTCTCTACAGTTTTCTTTGTTACATCAAATGTTTTTTCCACCCAAGACATCTTTTGATGTAAACATAACAGAAATTAGAAGAAAATGAAAGATTCTTGGAAGAATTCTCCACAGTGAAAATAATAATAGCTAACATATAGCAGACACTGCATGAAGCAATTTCCATAATTGTTCACATAAGCTCTACCATGTCCAGCTACATGAACTTATTTAGGTTTAATAAATCTCTGCTCCTCAGTGACTGAGTAAGAATAGCAGTAGATACTTCACCAGTGCTTATAAAGAATGTTGGTTATCCTAATCCTTGTGATTTAATCTTCTAAAGAAGCTATTATTAATCTCCATTCTAATGACAAAATTCTTTAATTTTAGAGTTTAATGGCTTGTTCAAGGTCACACAATGGTAAGTGGAGTGGTTGGGATTTGAATCGGAGTTGATTTTCTTGGTCATGAAACTCTGTTACCAATTATGATTATTTTGTGTTCTCCTCTCTTGTTCCCTAAATGTTATTAGAATTGTAGCAAGGAAATATAAATCTCAACAGCAACACCAACCAATACCAATTTATTTCTATTGCTTATTCTTCACCTGAGCTAGCATCCTCTTACAGTGACACTGCAAACACAGAGGTGTTGTAGAAAGAATTAAAATTTCACTAGGAGAGTACGCCTGCAAGTGAAGACCAAACAAATTGTCACAAAAATGCGTCTAGCAATAAAGCTGAAGCAAGTCTCTGTGCCACTCAGATAGAAAGGGGGTTGGAATGGGAGGTGGAGAGAGAGACAGAGACAGAGACAGAGAAAGAAGATAGAGAGAAGAAAGAGAGAAGAGAGAGAGGAGAGAGAGAATGAGTATGTATTTTATCACACTATACTTTTCAGGCAATTACAATTGATAGGGCATTTTGATTACCCTAGGGAAATCTGATTTCTTACTTGGAAGAAATACTAACATTTATATGTACTAATTCAGCTTTAGAATAATATTTTGGATGGTGATGAAAGCTGAAATAAGACAAGAACATTAATGCTCTTCATTATATAATCATGTATAGAATCAACTTGCTTTTATTTCTTTTTTGTATCATCGCTCATTTGTACCATAGTCACAAATTCCATTACCTATCTCTCCCTGCTTCAACTTTTGTTCATAAGATGCTACTAATAAACATGCTTTTCTAGAATGTGGACTGTTTATAAATGTGAATATATTTGCAAAACATTCTAAAAGGAGATTTTCACCATGAAAATGTGGCAAGGATAAAAAGAAAATTTCAAATGCTAATTTCCCTAGCTATATTGCTTCATAACAGAAAAGCTTAGCATACTATTACTTTTAAAAAGGATAATAAAATAAGCCCCTTTCAGATAAAAAAAAATTATTACCATGGCACATAGATTAATAGCAGACATAGAATATGGGCTAAATCTGACCCAGGAAATAGTAGGTGAGGACCAGTTAGCTACTAACTACTGTGGTTGGCCTTTTAGAGGTGAGAACATCAAGCAAGAAGCAGTTCCTCCCTCTGAGAACAGCCCTTATATGCATCTGGACCCACGGTGAGACTTTTCAGTAGGTGAATGGGATGAGCTGATTTAGAACTCACAGTGTACATGATCAGAATACAAAAAGCATTTCAGATTTGAAAAATCTTGTTTAAAGGGCTGAACTTCTACCTATAAAAATGCTAACCAGACCTTAGGAAGCAGTTCTGTGGGAAAGTGCAGGCTTTGCACGTGTGAGGCTGTGAGATCTTGGCCCATGGCACAACTAGTAAGATCCCCTGTACAGGGGCTGGAGTGATAGCACAGCGGGTAGGGTGTTTGCCTTCACACGGCCGACCCAGGTTCGATTCCCAGCATCCCATATGGTCCCCCAAGCACCGTCAGGAGTAATTCCTGAGTGCAGAGCCCAGAGTAACCCCTGTGCATCACTGGGTGTGACTCAAAAAGCAAACAAACAAAAAAAAAAGATCCCCTGTACAAAGGGTATGAATCTGGGACCCCAACAAGGGTGTAACCCTCCAACAAAGCTGGGGGTGGGAAATGTACACAGTTATTTAATGGAACATTATATAACTGAAACCCACTCACGAACAACCTTGTAACTGTGTATCTCATTGTGATTCAATAAAACACAAACAAACAAATGAACAATAAGTGACAGCATCAATAACAACAACAACAACAACAAAAACACAACAGTACTCATGCAGAGAGTATTAGCAGTTATAAAGCCACTATAAAGGCCAGGTTTGAGATGGCGACCTGAACGCAACAGGGATTTGAAAGAACAAAATAGATACGAAAGTCACTAGGAATTGGAGAAGAGAGAACTTGGGAAGTGTGCTGGGTGGCAGGGAGAGAGGGAGGAGAGAGCGAAGACATGATGGGAGAAGGGACAAGTGGAAACAGGAGGCCAGCACAGCGCATGTGGAATGCCAGGTGGCTGTGAGAAGTCCATGAGTGGACAAGAAGAGACATCAGTATCTGGAGGAGGTTCACTGAGTGAGAACCTTGGTGGATACCCTCATCTCTGTTCTATAATAAGACAAACACAAGAAGATGATAGTTGATAGATATAAAAAATTACTTATAATATATTATAATTTTATTTATAAAATTTAATAAAATATAAATTTAAAATTTTTTATTTCTAATATGAATTTCCTGAAGGCTACAAAATCTTCCATCCCTCTTGGAGAGCCCGGCAAGCTACTGAGAGTATTCCACCCAGATGGCAGAACCTGGTGAGCTATGCGTGACGTATTTGATATGTCAAAAACAGTAACAATAACAGGTCTCATTCCCTTGACACTGAAAGAGCTCCCAGTATGCCACTGGGCTACACTATCATGTGACAAGGACAAATGGAGACGCTACTAGCGCCCGCTCGAGCAAATCGATGAACAACGGGAAAGTGACAAGTGACAAAAAATAATATATGACTTATTATATTCATAAAATACATAGATATATAAGTAATATATAAATATGAACATCCGGGTTTAAAATATGAATATCCAGTCTGGGACCTGGAGACTTGTGTCTCAAACAAGATGCTTTAGCTCTGAAGAGTGTAACTTAACCAAGAATTTTGGAGGGGGACATACCATACAGTGCTCAGGGACCTGGGGTCCCCTCTCATGATTCTTTGCCAACTGGCCATGTGGCTCATAGGTCAGAGCTAAAAATCCAAGAATGTAGTGATGGTTGGGGTCTCTAGGGTCACACTTGGTGGTGTGCTGAGGCTCTGAGTGCCACACCAGAGGTTTGGGGGGGGGGGGGGGTCACACAGTGCCAGGGGTTAATCTGCGGTCAGGTGACTATAATGTATGAGGTCTAAACTACTGTGTTTTCTCCCTGGCTCCAATTCTTATTGTCTTTTATTTCCCATTTCTAGGTAGTGATTGTGGGAAATTTTTCAGATTACTATATACTTGTTAGAAGTGAAAATAACAACGGAGATTTTGAAAAGGGCTTTTGTGTTAAAGCTTTGCTTTGGTGATGTTCTGGAGGGATGCAAGGAAGAAGAGTTCCAAAGCCCATTGCTTTGAAATGAGATCAAAGTATCTTAGCTGGGGGAGTAAAACGAAGCTGTTTAAAAACTGACATTTTAGGTTTTATACATGGTCAAGTACTTAGTGTACCATCTCGTACATAAAAGGTTTACAGTGTGAAGTGTGATTACTTTGTTTTTTGGTTTGGGGGACACACCCCAGTGGTGTTCAAGGCTTCCTCCTGGCCCTGTGCTCAGGGATCCCTCTTGGCAGGCTTGGGGGCCATAGTGGGGCTGGGTTTGCCTGGTCATCCGCGTGCTAGGTGATCACCTTACCCACTGTCCTGTCACTGCAGTTCCAGTTTTGTTTTGCTTTTATTTTTCCTACTTTTTGCATGGGCTGGAGCAATAGCACAGTGGTAGGACGTTTGCTTTGCGCGCGGCCAGCTGCCCGAGCCGGGTTCGATTCCTCCGCCCCTCTTGGAGAGTCCAGCAAGCTACCGAGAGTATCTCACCTTCATGACAGAGCCTGGCAAGCTCCCTGTGGTGTATTCGATATGACCAAAACAGTAACAAGTCTCACAATGGAGATATTACTGGGCCGGCTCCAAATCGATGAACAATGGGAGGACAGTGCTACAGGACAGGGCTGCTGCAGTGCTATCTTTTGCATTGCTACAGATCTAATCCCGGGCTTCACACATGCAAATGAAGTGCTCTACCACTGTGCTACCTCTCTGGCCTATTTTGCTTTTAAAGGGGATGTGTAGGTTCTTCAAAGTCAAGTTCACCAACTTCTTGATACTTGGATTTGTACAAAACTCCTAGATCACTGACTTGAAGGATAAGACCATGACTGTATCACTGTCACTGTCATCCTGTTGGTCATCGATTGCCTCGAGCAGGACCTAGTAACGTCTCCTTCGTCCTAGTCCTGAGATTTTAAAAAGTGCCACATTCAAAGCTCTTTCAGGGTCAGGAAAATGAGACCCATCAGTGTTACTGGTTTTTAGCATATTGAATATGCCACGGGGAGTTTGCCAGACTCTGCCGTGTGGGAAGGATACTTTTGGTAGCCTGGTTCACCAGAGTAAGACCTAGATAATAAGATAATAAGACCAGGACAAAAAAAATAGTTACCGAATTGGGGGTGATCCTCTGTGATTTTGTAGATGATTTCCGAGGCACTGGCACCCGGAGCTTCGGCCTGTAGGATCTTATTGGTGATCTGTAGCAGGCCCCCTTCTGGGACCCACACCATTGAATTGGCCACAAGTCGAAGACCACCAGCATTCTAGAATAAAGAAAACATACAGAATGATAAAATTATTTTATTATTTTACATATAAAATAAGACCAGGACAAAAAAAATAGTTACCGAATTGGGGGTGATCCTCTGTGATTTTGTAGATGATTTCTGAGGCACTGGCACCCGGAACTTCGGCCTGTAGGATCTTATTATTTTACACATAAAATAATAAAATACCCCAGTCCATGGGCTGGAGTGATAGCACAGTGGTAGAGCGTTTGCCTTGCAGGCAGCCAACATGGCTGACCCGAGTTTGATTCCTCCGCCCCTCTCGGAGAGCCCGGCAAGCTACTGGGAGTATCTCGCCCTGGCAAGCTGCCCGTGACGTATTCGATATGCCAAACACAGTAACAACAAAGTCTCCAATGGAGACGTTACTGGGCCCGCTCGAGCAAATTGACGAACAATGGGAGGGCCTTTACCTTTACCTTTTTACCCCAGTCCATAAATCCCTAGTTCTCAGAGTCTACTGTTGTTTAAACATCTAAGAAAAGAGCTTTAGAGTCACAATATGAACTACATGTATGCCAAGGGTGAATAATATGTAATTATAAGTATATACTTATATGCATACATGTACATATGTCTAGATCATACTGCTTCTCTTCATTCACCCTGAGTAAACAGCTCAGTTCACACAGGAAGTTTAGGTTACCCCATTTTTTTTCTTTTTGGGTCACACTCGGCGATGCTCAGGGGTTACTCCTGGCTCTGCACTCAGGAATTTCTCCTGGCAGTGCTCAGAGGACCATATGGGATGCTGGGAATCGAATCTGGGTTCGCCATGTACAAGGCAAATACCCTACCTGCTGTGCTATCACTCCAGTCCCCCATTTCTTCCATTATTTCACTTCCCTGTCCTTCCATCCTTCTCATTTGCCACATCCGGTGACTCTTCATTAAGCATCCTTATATGCCGGTCCTTTTCCTGAGGCCTAATATACATAAGCTTGGCTGAAACAAGACCTTAGTTTTAGAGTCTGGTGGGAAGTCACACAAGTGAGGCCCTGCAAGAAGTGTGAGCAGGTGCAAAGGGAAAAATAAAGAAAAACCCAAGAGTTCCTCTTGTGAGATGGAGCCGGGACTGTGTTTGGCCCCCAAGACAGTGTTCTGTGTTCCCCTCCTCAAAAGCAAAGGCTGAACTCAGCGCCCTGGAGTCCTGAAGCAGTGAATCTCTGAGAGATGACAAGGGAGGTTGTGACTGAAGAAGGAACTTTGACAGGAAAGAACTGGACTAAGCCAGTTTGTGCCAAGATGGACCCCAGGACTGACCCTCACGGAGATTTCCCCCACATTTTAATAGTCAAAAATCAGGCCCAGGGATGTAAGTTTTACAGACAGTGTGACACTTCTTTCATGCGCACTGAGTCTGCGCATCCAAATGGCTCCCGTATGAAGCTACTTCCACACGCGGAGAAGCCATTTCTTTGCCAGCTTTGCCTGAGACACATTCCCGGGTCTGTTCACGGAACCATTCAGGGCACTCAACCTATGTGATCTCCCTTCTTCTCATTCAATAAATACCCCAAATCTTTTCCCTTGGCCTCCCATCAATATCTATTTACTCTGAGAGCCCAGGAATCTTGGGAGCTATTGCATCTGGATTATTCTGGAAGATTCTCTCAAGAAAAATACCACTTAATTCTTGAGTGTCACAAAAATTTTTTTTTTAAAAAAATGCTCCACAGTGGAGAAATGGTAAAACAGATTCCATACAGAGGGTCTAGGTGGAGCAAAAGCAAAAACATGTGAGACCACTCAGCGGGCTTAATACGACATCTGCGTTGTGGATAGAGAGACAGGAGCTTGCCTTGCAAGTACTGCTCGGAGCTCCCTCTGAGTACAAAGCCAGGAAAAACCTCTTACCACTGCTTGGTGTGACTGAGAGAGAAAGAAAGAGAGAGACAGAGACAGAGAGAGAGAGAGAGAGATCCTTGTGTCTGGTGCAAATCTAGTTCAGAGAGCCAGGGAAGAGGAAGAATAAAAAGTGACACTCTCTTAAGGTTGGTTAGTAGATGGTAGCACCTAGGCCAAAAGTCTCAGTTCCTCTTGTCGCCACTGAAATGTCAACGCGAATCTTTTTTTTAATTTTTCTATTTTATAAGGTGCTTCACAATGTTTGATTACAAATATTAATATTCAAACACCAATATTCAAATATTGGTTAATATTCAAACACCAATCCTCTACCATTATACCTCTTCCCACCATCAAATTTGGGATGTTCCCATCCTAAGCCCAAAACCCTCTCCCAAAACACAACCGAAATAATATATTTTGTATTGTCTGTTATGGAAAACTGCTGAAAATACTACAGAAAAGTATCCATAGAGGAAACAGTGTGAGGATTTAGTGATATCCTAAAGAATGTCTTAATGATCTCTTCCAAAATAGATCAACGGGAATCTTGAGGGAAGGAAATGCGACGATCGGGTCTGGGTTTCAAAGCCGAGACTCCGGCAGCAACAGGAGACTGGGGATGAATGAAGCTGTTAGAAACCCTTTTAGGAGTTCCTGGAATGGCCCAGGTGAGAGAAGATGAGAAGTAACTGCAGTGGGAATGGAAAGACAGAAACAGAATGCAGACACTGCATCGGGAAACGTGACAGGCCTTGACGACTGATTGAGAGTGAAGCCTTCGAAACAAAGGTTGGAAGTCGCGGGCTGGAAGGAAGCGGCTGCTAGCACTCCCAAGAAGGCCACCGTTTTAATTGCTAAAGCTAATGTCATTACAAAGCTCTGCCACTCTTGGTTTGCTACGTGAGCACCCACTTCCAAAGCCTCGTCATCGACATTTTCCACCAAATGAGATTAGGGAGGCTTCTGGTGCTGTTTTCAGATTGTATTCATACTTCCAAAATCAGCACATCTGCTGGTTTAAAATAGGGCATTTCAGAAGAGATGTTTTTCTCAATTACTGTTATTACTTTCAAATATGCCAATAACAGAACAGTACAAACAGCACTCCCAGGAGAGGGGCATGCAGAACTGAAGACAAGCCCTCCTTTGCAGCATTTGGGGATAGAGGGCTTCTGCCCCTCTCCAAGGTGGTCACAGTACTTCCACCACAATTACCAGGAGTCTGAGTTACCTTGTAGTCAGGGGAGTGGCAACAAAGCCACCTTTTATTGGGACTGATGCTTAGGTAGAAAAATACCAGAGATTTCTCCGCTTTCATAATGCTGCAGTGTACTCTTTACAAAAGAAACCACAAGTTGCCAAGAATTTTACATAGTATTTTCTAGAAAAATGAGGAAATACCCTATGATTAAGTCCAGCAGTGCTATGCCATCATAAACACACTTGGATCTAAGTATTTCAATTGCTAGAAATCTTCTAATAGCAGCCCTGTTGATGGCTGCAGAAAATCAATCCCACGTCAGCATCTGTGTTACGGAATGAAGGGGGAGCGGACGTGTTTCATGTTTGAAGCAAGAAAGCACTGTGGTGGCTGAAGCGATAGAACAGCGGGTAGGGCGTTTGCCTTGCACACGGATGACCCGGGTTCGATTCTCAGCATCCCATATGGTCCCCTGAGCACTGCCAGGAGTAATTACTGAGTGCATGAACAAGGAGCAACCCCTGTGCCTCGCTGGGTGTGACCCAAAATGTAAAAAAAAGAAAAAAGATTAAAAAAATTAAAAAAAAAAAAGAAAACTGCATCCCAACACAGCCGATGTCTCTCTCACTAACCCTCCTCTCAGCGTCTCTCAGCAATTACACTCTCTAGCTCCTGTCTGACTGAAATTTTGTGAGGCAAGGACATGTGTCTGAACAGTGCACAAAATGTTCAGACACGATTAATAGAAGCGTATGAAAAGTTCTGAATCTCAGGGGCTGCGAGATAGTATAGCAGTTAAGGCACATGCCTGGCGTGCACCCAGAGATCCTGAATCTCCTGAGCACCCTGAAAAGTTCAGACCCTCAGAGTCCTTCCCAGACCAAGATTAGAATCCACAATTTTGGTCTTTGCTTTGATAGCTTGATCCATGAATTGCTCTATGAAAATTGTATGTTAATAGTAAGGTGATGCTTTGATATAAACATCAATATCAACAGTATGAAATGATTTCTTGATCAAACTAATTGTGATACTCATCTCCTCACACCGATGAACAGTATTTTTGTGTGTGGTGATGAAGACACTTAAGCACAACGCTCAGTAGACTTCCGTTATCCGGTGCAGTATTATTAAACATAGTCATCATATCAATCCTGTGTCAGTGAAATTTTGTAATCTTCGACCAACATTTTCCCATTTCCCCCACTCCCAGTCCTTGCCTCCTCTATTCCACTCTGCTACTTGGAGCTCAACATTCTCTGGTTCCACCAAGGAAAATATGACATATACATAGATATTATATAAACCACATTTTCTTATTTCATTTAGCAGTCCACATTTCAAACATGATGCTTCTGTGTCTTGGTGGTGAGGAATGAATGCGGCGGTGCACAGAGGGCTGAGACAGCTCTCTGAGACCCTGTTTTCATTTCCTTTGGATACATTCCTAATAGCAGAATGGTTAGGTCAATGATGGTTCTATTTTTAATTAAAAAACATTTCTTTTGCCTCCCAAGCAGTGCTCAGGAGGCCCAGGTGTCCCACTGGCACTTCTCAGCCAGCTGGGTCTCTGCGCAATGCCAAGACCTGAGGAAGATGCGGTGCGGCTGAGGCCATGCTAGCCAGGAATATGGGAGCCTCACTGGAGACTGTGCTGGGAGCCTACGAGACTGCACCTGGCAGTACTCGGGGGACCACATGGTGCCAGGATGCAATAATTGGGCTGTGCACATGGTAGTCATGTGCCCCGACCATGATAATATCTCCCAACTCCTCTACTTATAACTTCATATTGAAAATACAAACTGTTTTCCATAGCATCTGCAAAGTGGGGGTTACATGCCTCCCAACAGTGTAGAAAGGTCCTTTTCCTCTGTATTCTCTTGACATTTTAATAAGAGCCACCTACAACTTAACAAATGAT